AAAAGAAAACATCGATGAGAGGGAGTAATATGTATGTACATGGAGATTGAGATGGGGAGGCTGAGATATCAATCCATTGTCCATGCATGTCAGTCCAAGAAAGGGTGCAAGTACAAAGGGTCGTGCGTCAGCACCAGCAGCAGTGCCCATGCGTGGAATCGATTTGAACTGGCGACGACGTGGATATACACGAAGATCTTCTTGATCAATATGAATCAATGCCGGTCCGGTGTAATAAGTATGTAATTACGCATGCGTTTCGCTCGGGTAGATACCGTTGTCCGGCTCCCTCCCTGCCTGCCTGCCTGCCTGCCTGCCTGCTCGTACCCGCTGCTATGTATGTCGGCTTGCCGTGGTGCGAGTTGCATCAACTGTTCAAACCCATGCCGTCTCCATTCCTGAGTATTGTTAGTATCAACTCTTGAAAGTCAACACGATGCGACTTGTGAAGTCTTGTTCCGAGCTCGTTGGAAGTTGTTGAGAAGGGGAGAAGCGACTACCCCCCCCCCCTCTCCTGCGTACAGCGCGTACTGTGCAGTGTGTACTCTGTACAGGGATGCAAGGACTGCGCACAAGGCCTTCTTTCACATCAGCCCTCGACATGTGCTCATACCTCGGATTTTCAACCAATCAATATCGGATACAATCTAATATCCTCATACAAAATCGTAGTTCCCCTCCTGACACATCGCGATGTCTGTCTGTAGTCCTTTGCCAATGGTACTACATACTGCCCCTCCCTAGCCCGTTCGCTAAGCCCCCTTCCTTCCATACAAAAGGTGGATCCCACATCACAAGCCAGGCCTCACCCATCGCTGGTTGTCCATGCTGTCCTCAATCGTATTTGGATATTTTCAATTATACTGTATATAGACGGTTTAACTTTGACAAAGAATATAATTCAATCAAAGGACGGCCGAATGGTCTAGTGGTATGATTCTTGCTTTGGGTTCTTCCTAAATTGTAAGAGGCCCCGGGTTCAAATCCCGGTTCGGCCCTTTGATACAATCAATTTGATTGATTTCCTTTTTGCTTTTTGATTGAACTGTCAATTCTCTTTTTCTACAAAAGAAAAAGACTTCACTCAATTATCACGTCAAATTCGCGTGTGCTCTTGCATCCTTTTTTTTTGAAAGGGTTGTCTACGGCGGTGAATAAAACACGCAAACAGCATTACTATGTACATGTACATACATACAGGGAAAAGTGGTAATGAGCATTGTTGCACGTACTTGCGAAATGGAAGCGGGTTTCAGAGTCATATATCCAGAGGCCATATTATACTTAAATTGCGCATACAGATATATCCCATGCTTGGTATACAAACCTTGAATACAGGTTATAACATCGTTGACAGACCACAATCCTTAATGCAACGCCTCTGATATGCATTCCTCCATTCCAGACCCGGACCTCCATGGCCATGACCGCAGAAACGAACTCCGCATAGAAAGAAACCCTTCATTACACATATACATTCACACCAATATGCAGCATTCGACTCTACATCTCCATTTGTTCGCCCTTTCCATTGACCATGCCCGCATTACCCTCCCCAAGATGCTTCAGCAGCCAGCTCCTCTTGAAGTACGTGTTCGGATGCACGATGGTGTCGAGGTCGTTCGAAGTCCAGCTCCCGTCATCCTTGACCTTCTTGATTTCTTTCCTATGCGCATGCTCGAAAACCCTGTTGCATGCGACGTGATATCTCTGCTTCGTGACATCCTCTTTGATCGTCTTCAGCAGATCGCGATCATTGATGCCAGTACGCTGCAACATCGTCATCAGGTTGTCCTGCGTAAATGTTCGATAAGGGCAGCCGTGCGACTGTCCTGGTCCAGGGAGAGGTTCAGTGAGGATCTTCTGGCATGAATAGGGAGAGTAACCCCTCCCGCGCCTGTTCGAGTCGCCACCCACATCGCCGTACGCATGTCGAATGTTGTACTTGTACTCTTTCTGGAACTTGTCGTCGGTCATTAGTTTGAATGAGCGCCGCCAGAATATTATACATTCTTCGAGGCTAAGACCTATGCCTTTGAGGAAGAGTGTGTATTGTAGACGGCCGTAGTGCTTGAGATGCGAATCGGCGCGCAGCTTGTTGTGCAGCGATTGCATGCAGAGCGGGAAATTGGTTGCGAGGGAGTCGATGGCGCCGGATGTTATGGTTGAGAGCCCGTCGATGGAGGCATCTGAGGATGTGTAGGCTGCGTCGGGTGCTGTGAATGATTGGGAGAGATGCGCGAGGATAGGGGCGAGGCGGTCGTCTTCGTCGAGACGAGGAAGCGCACGGGCAGTAAGCTGAATGATTATCAGTATATATTTCAGACCAACTCAATAGGAGACGTACCTCTAGAGCTTCGTCCAGACGTTTTGTGAACTCTGCCACCACCAAACTCAACTGTTCCTTTTGTGGCACATAGGCCTTTCCCCTCTTCAAAAACACCCTCCTCTGATCCACCAGTTCAGGAACCCTCTCCCAGTCGACTTTGAACCACTCCTGATCATCCTCTTTCTTCATGTTCCCTGCTGCAGCCAGTTGCTTACTGATTTCAGCTTTCTCTGCATCTCCAACTTCTTCCCACTCCAGATTGAGCGTGCTAACCCATTCCTTTCGCTCCTTCAAGTCATCGCTCTTGAATCTCAGTCTGAATAGCGCAGTCTCTAATCGAGAGAACCGCCGCCGGAGGTCTTCGGTTGAAGAGAACGCCAGCCGGAGTATGAAGTGTGAGTAGTGGTCCTTCTTGCGCTCCTCTTGGAGATTTTGACCGCGCGACGAGTTCGAGCGGAGTGGAAGATGTTTGGCCAAAATGTTGGTCATGTACTCGGCGGTTTCATCTTGGCTGCGATTGCGGAAACTACATGCTTCAAGTTCAGAAAGGACTAGACACCAATACGATCAGCAACATCCATGACAACATAGAGTCAATATGAGAAGACGCACCCTTCAGCCTGTTGATCGCCCATGTCTCGAACTCTTCCAAAGTGATCTCAGCCGTTGGCGGCACATCGTAGTAGTTGAGACGATGTTCATAGGTCTGCTGTTGGAATTCTGCTTTCGCGAATTGCTTCTTGTTGTGATGGATGTTGGCGCGCCGTTTGGGGTCTACTCGGGAGTAATCGTGGCGGATCATGGTGTTTTTCGAGAACTGTTCTTGTGCGGAAGTGTTCTTTGGTTTTGGAAAAGGCGATGGCTTCGAATCTTAAAGTGGAAACGCGACTTCAACACGACGCGACGCACGGACGGAAACGCGTGGGACTGGCGCTAACCACAAATGGTATTATAAGAGACGATTGTTAAAATAAATTCCACCGTTTGTTCAGCTCGTCTATATGAATTGTCCTCTATGGAAATGCCTTGAATCCCCTATACAGAAGACCTTTCGAAGTCCGAGAAGAAGCTGAGCTCCTAAGGACACCATCAACCCAGCAAATCACCCAACGCATCCACGTATGCCATCGGCACAGTGGGCGCTCCCTCGGCGAGGAACTCTTCCTTCTTACTCACCCCTGTGAGAACGGCCAGTGTACCTCCCAGCTTCCCCTCAATGCCGAATTGGATATCTGTATTCAGCCTATCGCCGACCATACAGGTCCTGCTCCGATCGAAATGGAATTTGCCCTCCACAGCATCCATCATCGCTTGACTAGGTTTGCCTAGAGACAAAGCCTCCTTTCCAATAGCCTTGACCAGACCCGCGCCCGTTGATCCAGCTCCAGGGAACAGCGAATGCGCCATAGGAAGTGTGCTGTCCGTGTTCGTCGCCAGAAACACTGCGCCGCGCTGGAGGTACTGGAACGCCGTTGCCAACTTGAGGTAGTTGACGTGGAAGTCCAGGCCGCTGAGGACAATTCCGACATCTGGATCGAGAGCGGAGCCGTTGGCGAGGTTGGTGAAGTCCTCCGGTTCGATGTCGCGGCGGAACGCCGAATCAGTGCCGCCAATATACGATACGCCTTCCGCATCCAGTTCTTGTTCTACGCCGCTCTCTCCTAGCACGAACACCTTGTTTTTCGGGCCCGGGAGCTTGAGGATGCGCGCGATGTAGACGGCAGCGCTATAGGAAGAACCGAAGACTTCTTCCTACTATGGAGTAAGCGAGAGAGCAACGTCATGAGGTCGACAAACATACGACTTTGGCTGGTATGTTCATCTTGTCAAACTTCTTCTTGTAATCGGCTCGAGACTTGGTGCTGTTGTTTGTTACGAAGACAAGCTGTTTACCTGATACCAATATTAGAGGCCATGCACATGCTTAGGATACTAATTTCTTACCTTTACTCCGCAGCATCTCGAGAGTTTCCGCAACGTTGTCGAAGAGGTGATCGCCGGACCAGAGGACGCCTATCCTTCTTCACAATCAGTGCATGTCCATGCTCGGAATGATCATCGATTCGCTCGGTCGGAAACGGAATATCTGAGTCGTCTCTACATAAGAATTCACACACCATCGCAATCAAAGAGGAAGACCTGTACCCAGATTGTGAGTCCAAATCTTTCGGAAAGGTGCAAGATACTTACGTCGAATCTGGACAAGAATTCTTCAATGCCAGCCTTATCGCCAGTCAGATGTTTTGGGGGTGACATTCTTAGGGATTATTGGTCTTGAACTTGAGGGGATTCGGTGTGTAAAGGGAGGTCACGGTAGTGCAGAAGAAGGTAAAGCGTTGGAGGGGTCTTGCATTTGGTGGGGTGCTTGGCATTACATTCGGAATCGGAACGAAACGGTCCGAATATGAACATACATGTATACACAGTATGCTCGCCTTTGATATCGAGCACTTTCTATGTACCAGGTATGTCACAGCTTTGCTAACCTTGGTCAATCAACAATGATCGTCTTCTCAAGCTCCTCAAAGTTGACGAAGAAGCTTTCGAAGAGGTTGATCGCATGCTCGACGTCATGAGTGCCACCAGTCTCTCTGATGCTGTGCATACTGAGCTGCGGGTTCCCCAAGTCCAAAGTACGAGCACCCATCGCTGCCGATAGCATAGGACCGATCGTGCTTCCACACGAGGAATCGTTGCGGACAACGAACAGCTGAAGCGGAACACCTTCCTTCGCAGTTGAGACGCTCGAAGAAGCCTTCTTGGCCCGACGAGCTGCTTCCTGGAGCAAGACTATTCCAGGAGAGTTCGTAGCATATCGGGCGTTGGCGTTGATCTTGATGACCGTGCCCTTGTTCATCTCCGGTCGGTGCTGAGATTCGTACTTGGCGGGGTAATTGGGGTGTACCGAATGAGCCATGTCGGCTGAGATGAGGAACGATGTCGACAGAGTCTGTTCGTAAGCTGTCACTGTCTCCGCATCGAGCTTATCATATGAACTGTCCGAATCATTCGACTCAGAAGCAGGCAAAACCGAGAGACGACGAATAACAGCTGGAAGCAAGTTCGAGTCTGCCCCTTGCGCAGTCTGGCTGCCGATCTCTTCGTGGTCGAATAGTGCAATTAGGCGGATGGTCGAGTCCTTCTCCAATGACGAAGGAGATGCGACACTCTTGATCAAGCCCTCGACACTACAGTACGACATGCCAAGGTTATCCAACCGAGCCGAGAAGATAAGCTCATTATTTAGACCTCCGATCACAGACTTCTGTGTATCGTAAAGCACAATCTCAAAGTCCAAAACATCGTCAACGTCAACTGCCGCCTCCTCTGCGATAATCTCGACGATATACGGATGGTGCCGTTGGGTTGGGGTTGCCAGAGGTTCGAAGGGGCCGTCCTTCTTTACCTCTTCCTTGGTCTCCTCCGTCCTCCCTTGCCTATTCAGCTCCGCAGCAGCCAAACCAGCAATCGGGAACAGCTGGGTCTCTTTGTTGAACTGGAAGTTTTCCTGGCGATCGAGGTGAATAGCCAAAGTCGGTATCCGCAAGATAGGCCTCTCAACCTTGACCAACCGCTGCTCAATTGAACCTTCCTTGGTCTTCACCATGACCCGCCCAGCAATGGAAAGATCACGGTCATACCAAGTATGCCACAAGCCGCCACCGTATG